AATTTGATTTTGTAAATGTACAAGAGTTTTGTAAATAACATATGTTATGTATTTGAGAAGAAATTGCCCCTCTCTCTCTCTTGTGTGTTGGATCATATGAGGAACAAGTCCTTATGCTCATAAGGACTTGTTCCTCATATGATCCAACACACACACACTTGACAAATTAATAGTTGTGAACTCATCGTTAGTAACTTAAGGCAAAAACTGTAATTGAATTTATAATTAATCCACAATCAATTATTATTTTTTCAAGATTTAAAAACGATTAAATTAATTTCAAAAAAAAAAAAAAAAAAAAAACATGATCCACAAGATCAACATAAATTGAAGACATGGATAAGTCCACACTTTTTAAGTGTTTTCATTTGAACTTTATATATATATATATATATATATATATATATATATATATATATATATATACACACACACACCGTAGACCATTGTTCACATTGGAAGGTGAACTAATTACGCATGTTTATTTTTAACATAATGTAAGTTTATTTTTAAGTAATAAACTAAAAATAAATTTACAATACACTAAAAATAAACTTGCAGTACACTAAAAATAAATGTATGAAAAATAATTTATAATACACTAAAATAAACAGTTATGCAGTCGGATTATAATCTACAGTATAATAATTGTTAACAAACTACTCTAGTAATTTAAGGGGATGTTTGGTTCATGGAAAATGTTTTTCAAAGTAAAATATTTTCTTTAAAGTGGAGAAAAATGTTGTTTTCTTGTGTTTGGTTCATTGAATTCATTTTTCATTGGAAAATGAATTCCTCAAATTTGAGGAAAACAAAATCCTTGGTTGGGCCAAGGATTTTGTTTTCCATGGAAGATGGGAAGAAAAAGTGATATGTATTGCCTATTTTACCCTTGTTTTCTTTTTTAATTATATTACTCTTATTAATTTGTAGGGGCATATAAGTCTTTATACTTGGTTATTCCTTACAATTCCAAATCTAACCAAACAATAGAATTAGTATTCCCAGTAATTCTTTTTCCACTAACCAAACAATAAAATTCATCTTCCTAATAATTGTTTTTTCATGAAATTTCAATTCAACTTTCCTTAAAATATTTTTCGCGAACCAAACAAGCCGTAATTAGAAATGACTATATACATGTGTATGTGTGTGTGATCGCTGGATGTAAGGTAGAGCAATGTATGTTGGGATTTTGATGTTTAACGAGAAGAAAGCAAAGTAACGTAGTCAGAAATTAAAGCCAACGTATGATTAAGAAAGTTGACTTGGAAGTTGGAACAGTGGTTAGTCCCTCCATGCATGCATGCATGCATGCATGCATGTGCGACAATAACATCCAATTACCCTCACGAGGTGGCAAGCTTTTGCCAATTCCCACATATATATGCCACATTTCATATATGAATGTCTGATGTGACATTATTTTATCCGAAATGTATATGATGGTTTTATTGGGACCGGATCCATCATAAATCGCGTATAGAAATATAGAATAGGGTAGGAAAATAGTAGCTTCATTATTCGGGGCGCTAAACCCAAAATAGTACGTACAAGCCCCGAGATACAGGCAGTGGCGGATCCAAAAAATCATCTGAGTGGGGGCGAATATTAAATGACGTTAGAAATATCAATGACAAAATATCAAACAACCATAATAAGGTTAAAATACAAAATACATTATAAATTACAATATATTTATGAGAAAATATGAAACATAATCAATTAGATAAAATAATTTGATTAACAATATATTCATAAATATTTTTAAATTTTAATTTCTTTTAGTTAGATCAATTTTTCTAAATTAATTCGAATACAATAAAGTATATTATAAACTTGTATACTACATTAATTAAATGATTTATAAAAACTAGACTAAAAGAGCATTTAATTTGTTTATTAAATGATTCTTTTTTTTTTTTGAGAACTTTATTAAATGATTCATAAAAAGTAGACTAAAAATATTTATTTTATCTTGTGAAGAGAGAAGATAATTAAAAGTGTTGCAACTAAGATTTGAACTCATGACTTAAGCCTTTGTTATTGTTAACGTAAAACTTGGAGTTCAACCAACTAAGCTACTCAAATTATTAATATTTTCAACATAAATATAGATTTTATATAAATATTTGATGCTATATATGTATACATATACATATATATAAAGGGATGGGGGCAGCTACCCCCACACTGGGTCCACCCCTGGGAACTACAGGTCCAGAATGGCGGCCCAAATACAAAGATCACAGCCCAAGGAATGGAATAGGCCCAAAATAATAACTATCCCAATCTTTTGAAAGGATTCTTCCATTGGAAAGATTTGTTGATCGATCTATCAGGTTTCACTGGAATCAATACTTCCGATATCTATTGTATGATTTACCAGATAGACTTCTATCGAAGTATACTTTTACTGCATCAATATCTTCTTAGGGTAGATTCTTCAGATAATGATCTGTTGGTTGTACTCCCAATTTTTATTTTTATCGACGTTTAAAAAACGTCGCTAAATGACAGATTTCTTATTGTGTGAGAAACATAAGTTATTATTTTACCTTTACAAACTAGCCTATCTCTGAACATGAATTGCAACAAAATTTTAGGATTCTAAAGTTCTTAGCTTATACATTATTATGTATCACCAAAATTTTAAAACGCAATAATTCTTAACACACATATATAATAGTATAATCATATAAAGTTTTTGACATGCATGCCCTAACCCCAACCCCTGGCCATGACATGAAAATAAGAGCAATCATAAACTATTATTTCACCCATTATTGTGTCTAAGAAATGTTAGTTGGGTGTATTGTACAGTCCAATGTTTGGTTTGTTCTGAAAAGAAACGTTTCCAAGTTGACTGATAGTTTTGGATACCACAACCAATCACTATATTGCATACTGCGCCCCATTGGTTGGCCATACCTAGTGGTCTTGGTTTTTATTTTAGATTTGGGAAGATAAAATAATAATAAAAAAAAAAACATTTTCTGACCCCCAAATATTGACTATTAGTTGTTTTAGTCTGCCAAATTATATCATTCATCGAGAGGCAGGGCCTACCCGGTATTGTAAATTTTGTTTCAAAATAATATTTAGATTATAGGCAAGTAATTAAAATATTATATTCATTCAATTAACATATTGTGTGTATAAATCAATTGAATACACGTAATATGTTATTTGCATATTTATTCAGTTAACATATTATGTGGACAATTTGGAGATTGATAAAATACCTTGTTAGTAGGCGAAATTTTTACATGTAATAACCTTATAAAATTACATTCATTAAAATTCATCAAATAATCTTACATAAAAAGCCCGACATCAAATCAAATACATATATTTATATGATATATATATTAAGGAAAAATTATAACGTAAATTAAATTGTCAAGTCCAACAAAGACCGGATTTCAATGTATTAGTTATGTCAAGAAACTAACTGAAGTTGACACAATAATGAAGGTAGAGGAATTCACGTACCTGGTCAAATTATATTGTTGTCCAGCATTAATTTACTACATTTTTTTTAGTATTATTGATTCTATTACAATGTAATATCGTTCTATATACCTTCTTTATCTATTGCAATTCAAAGATCAATATCTCATCACCAGAATTCTTCGATCCAGATATACCATCTGAGCATAGGGTGCTTGACTATCTCTTTAAAGTTTAAAATCAAAACAATGGTTTATAATGGTATCACTTTAATTATCATTTCATAAACTTCATACACTAGATTCATCATTAGTAGGAATGTAAAGAACATGTTGATGCATAAGTCAATTTGGACCAGGCTACTAATAAGTCTCAATATCAAATTTGAGGCGATCTTTTATTTCAACACCCTTAAATATGCAAATTTGAAAATGTGATTCTGTTAGGTCTTGGTGGTTGTCTTCTTGGTTGGTCATACTCATCATATGTCCTTAGTGGGGTGGCCTTTAGTTTATTATTGATATTCTTCTTTGTGAAGATCCATATATATCTTACTTGGCAAGGTGAACTACTATAGTTTTCATAGTCTCCATACTTGTAACCATTGAAAGATTGAGCATCATCGGATCTCTTTTGTGACTTATAGCTTCCTTGGTCCTCATATTAATTCTCTTGTTGGAATCTTGACTTAGAAAACATCATATATCTTGGATCAACTTACAATCACAAAGACAAGATAGTGTTTTGCAACTAGAACTAGAAGTACTTGCAAGTGAGCTAGTAGTGTAGCAGTAACTTCAAGTAAATCAAAACAATGAACGAAACAACACAACAAGAAAACGAAAACAAACACAAAAAACAAGCACAAACTGCAAACAAGCAAAAGTAAAAGGGGTCGGGGTGAACTAGACTCCCTAACTTACATTCTTACACTTAATTTTAATGCATATTAAACAAATTTAACTAAGAGGACCAAATTTGAAATAAAATCAATAGTTAAATGACCAATTATGATCAAATTAAAAGTCAACGATTTAAATTGATAAATGTCAATAGTCAAGTAAACATTTTTGCAATTAACTCTTTGTAGGTGCTAATATACACACTCCGATGATATTTGGGTTTTGAAGGGTGGCAGATTGCCTTTATTCTCCAGTAATGTTTGCTAAATGTTTTTGCATGATTGACACAGAACTGGCAGCAGGTTGTTCTCATGGTATTTTGGTCCTTAACTTGATTATCTTTTTATTTAGAGTGATAATTTGATAAATATCAGTATTGGGTATAGACTCGTGCAGGATCAAGTCCAGCAATTGGTTGTTAGGAAAATTGTTTGGTGGAGGCCGTTGAAGGCTAAGTCTAGCTAGCACTCTGCCTCTAAAAAATGTGGTGATATAAAGAAATAAAGTTGCACCTTCACTATAAGTTATAGCTTTTAGCATAGTGATAATCACTTATCTAACAAGTGGTATCAGAGTCGGGTCACGGAAGTCAAGCACTTGCCTCTCGAAAATGCAGCAATGGCTAAGACCTATAGCTTTTCGTGATTTATTACTAATTTATTTAGAGCTATTATTACAAATACATTATAATTGTAGACATAATCTTATTTATCCTCAAAAGGAGTGAGCCTACCATAGTGGGTGACTCGGTCTTAAGTCTTCATTCACTCGTAAATACCAACTGAGCTGTCCGTGATTCCGTGAGGCACAATTGTAGACATAAGCTACTAGTACATGCAACTTCTAAATTGGAAAGAAGAGACAAGCTACGACGACATATATTATTGTTCAACGTTAATATGGTTAATTTAGGTAGTCCGGGAGCCGTACACTTGCCGGCCGGCCTAACGGACGTTACTACTTCCGGCATCTGAAACTTCACCGTCGCTCTCTATCCGTTGCTTTTCCGGCGAAGTAACACGGCTCTTCCCGGCCGAAGTTTGGGCGACGCCGGCGCTGTTATGAGGGCGGGGATAAGTGCAAGAAACCCGGTGATTATTGGGATCAATTCCCATGTCCACAAGCTTTTTTCTGATATGGGAATTCCAGTAATTCTCGACCTCTTCATCTGTGCGCCCCGGCAATCTCCCGGCGATCAACGACCACCTGCTAAATTCAATGCCGCCGTTAAATGTTACTCATCGGAGATTTTGTACCATCACGAGTAAAAGCAATATAGCATTTGCAAAACATGATTTGCATGGCTAGCTGTAATTGAAGATCAAATGTGTTATTTTAGTAGTTTAAATTAATAATTAGACAATTTTATACTTGTTTTGTCTGATTTTAACTCTTCTATTTACTATCATTTTGTCAACCCAACTCACATTTTTTGTTTATTTTCTTTAATTTTTTTTAATTATTTTCAAAATTCAACGTTGTATTTAATACCCCTCTATACATTTTATCTATTACATTTATTATTTATGGGTAAAATCAACCCTTCTCGCTTTATTTATTTTTCAATAATTTTGAAATTCATTTTTTGATATTTAATAATAATTCTAGTGTAGTTTTCAAATATATAATTTGATATATTAACATTAAATTAAACATTACGAAAAATTAAATTATAAATAACTTGAGTCAAATCCCGTTAACAAAACCTATCACATTATTAAACGAGATGCAGGGAGTAGTACTTTTGATATAACTTTCAAATATACATATTTCTATATACTAAAACTAAACTAATTTGTAAATAACTTAAGTCAAATCTCATCAGTAATCAAATTGACACATAAAATGTGATGAAAAAAGTATAATATTATATGCTCAACACACATAGGGTGAGTTCAAATGAGAACTCTTTTGGTAAAAAGTGATAACTGATCACAGTCATCCATCAGAGTTCATCAATAGTCGAAATTTTAGTAAAAAGAAAAACACGAAATAAATTTATAATTATTGTAAACTTTCAAATTTATAATATTTATAAAACTTACCTCGCTCATTTTCTTCTTATTTTTTATCAATCTTCAACCTTGATATATCCAAATGGATGTATATATAGTAATTATACACTATTGGAATTGAATTAAAAGGTGATTGATATAGCCATAAACAAATATAAAGGAAGTGAAAAAGAGCAGGGAAAATGGTCAAATAAGCCTTCGAACTTTACCTAAAAAGTCAATTAGGCCCTCAAACTTTTTAAAGTTACAAATAGGTACATAAACATGACAATTTAGTTATCAAGACCCAATTACATGTTAGTGACCTACAATAATACCAAGTCACTGAAATTCTGTCGGTTGTCCAGTAATAAAAATAGACGGAAAACGATCGATGGATTAAAAATGGACAGAAAATAAGGCGTCGCCATCTCCTATGGACGGAGAAGGCGACCAAACTGGTCGCATCTCCCATGGATGAAGAAGGTGACCATTTTGGTTGCCTTCTCCGTCCTTGCGAGATGGCGATCAAACTAGTCGCCATCTCCTAGGGACGGAGATGGCGACCAAACTGGTCGCAATCTCCATCCCTAGAAGATGGTGACACCTTGTTTTCTGTTCATTTTTATTTCAATCGTCGTTTTCGTCCATTTTTATTACCGGACAACTGTCGGAATTTCAGTGACTTGGCATTGCAGGTCACTAATAGGTAATTGAGCTTTGATGAACAATTAAATTGACATATTAATTTGAGAGTCTAATTGACTTTTCAGGTAAAGTTTGAGGGTCTATTTGATCCTTTATATTGATTTTTTGGTCCTTAGCTTCCTTATCACAAAGGTGTAAATATTATCCATAATTATTTTACATCGTTGTCAAATTAGTAATTGTGTTAAATTGGCCTGGCTTTTAACACATTAACCCTACTAATATGAAATCTTAACGAGAGACTAATATTAAAATGATTAAACAACTAATATATCAATGATTTAGAATAATTAGAAATGATATTTACGTACAGAGATAAAATATTCAAATCACTTTTTACCCAACATGGACACACATACTAATTTCTTTATCTTTTTTTACCCTTTCTTTCCTATAAATTCCATCAATCCTCACTTTCTACTCAACTATACAAGGTTGCATTACTTTCCATTAGCATGAGGTGATGACTACAAAAAAAGGGTAAATCTTCATCTCATCATAATATAGATGACGAGAGAAACCTAACGTCACGCACTATTCAAAGATGTGTATAAGGTAAACCTCACTCTTGTGTAACAACCTTTAAAATTACACATGAGAAATAAATTTCACTATAATTGTATGACCAGCTCAACCGAGATGGTATTGAATTGGCAAGAATCAATCGTGACCTTTTGACACAGAAATCATGTTCTACCCTTACAAAAACTATACAAATAATACATTTAGTGAGGGGTTTTTCCACCCGTCACTAATTTTTTGTCACTAAAAGTGTTTTTCTTGTAGTGCAATTTGACCACTTTTTCGGGGTACTATTTTATTATTAAATAGGATAATTATGGGTTAAGAAAAAAGTTAAATTTCCATTTTTTATACACAAATTTACCTGTCGCCAAGCAAGGCATGAAGCTTGATGATGAGATCCTCCTCATCATCACCAAAGTTCCCTCTTTTGGCAGTTTGCTTTAAATGGTTCATCCATCTAAGCCTACAACTTTTACTGCAACGAAGCAGACCTGAAAAAGTAAAAATAAAAATTACCAAAGACAATTAACTTTACTTATTTACTTCAAACACATACTCCACGTCCCCTCTCAAATCAAAAAAGAATATGGGTAGGTTAATGTTTACCTCCCTTGATAATATAAGCTTTTAGTTTTAGATTAAAACTTGAGAATCCAAAATTAATTTTCTTTTCTCCCAAAACCTTTACTCTAGTCCTGATATAGATGTAACATTTTTTTTTTTTTTTTATATAAAAGATACTGATATCAATTCTCTTGACTCATAATGAATTCTTGTTAAGAAAAAAAAAAATAGTGTTTTTGTGATTCGATTAAAACCTATCTTACCTAAGTTCAATACTTTATAGTCTAATAATATAAACGCAGATAGAACTCTAATAAGCTAAGAGTTCTTAGATTCAATCCTTATTCCCCTCGAATATCTTGTATGTCAAGAACTTAAAACAAAGAGGCAACTATAGCCAAATTGGTCGGCTGTTGGCTTAATAACCACAAGGTTACAAGTCTGAATCTCGGTAGGAGCTGCTCATAGACCTTCTCGATTTGAGCCGGTCAATTATGGGCAACCTAAACTAGTCCTTTGCTGGCTAAGGTCATAAGGCGAGGTAGGGTGGCAACGTTTACAAACCTGCGGCCTTGGGCAGGTCGCGCCAGCCACCCTCGCCATGTTTTCGGATGTAATCTACGAGCTTCTGGTCTTCCTGCTTGGACCAAGCACCCTTGTTGATCTCATGATGATGATGAGAATGGTCGCAGGAAGCCTTCCTCATAGTCGTTAGTTGTCGGAGAGACAAGAAGTGAAAGTGTGTGGATCTGGGAAGAAAACACTCCTTGGATGTTTCGTGTATATAGAAAACAATGATGAGAGTGTAAGTATATATAGTTGCGTACGTGACGATGGAGGCGGTGGGTGAGGTGTGTTGTGGGGTGGTGGTTTACACTTTATAGTGGTTTTAATTTATGGAATAAAAGGACGACCATGAGAGAGTTGACCGGTGGTTTGGCCCTGCATGTTATGTATGTATGCAATGCATGCCTACGCCTACCTCACACCACCCACTTTTATAAAATTGATGAATGAATTCAATACTTTTTCTTTAATTTTATGGTACTACGACCTCAACTATAATGCACTAGCTAGGAAGTATTATTGCAGTGGCAGGTCAACTGATTCCTAAGTAGATTCTAGTTAATGATACAGAATCGAACTCTATTAGTTATAGTGTGAAAGTTACATATAATATAATGCCTGCATGGGTTGCTCAATTGGTCAGAGAAGTGAAATTTGTCACAAAAAATTAAAGATTGAGTCTCACTAACAGCATCTGTTGATTGATTACCTCAGGCGATTCCTCAGTTACACCCAATGCGATAAATTTCTTGTCAGCACAGTGTAGTATTGGACCACTCATCAAACCCCATTTAGTTTTGTTATAAATTAAAGTATAAAAATGATCAACTCAGCTTACGTGATAAACGTGGGACAGCGAGGCGTTATGTATATAATACGATGAGCTTTGGATTGGCCGGAACCGATGTTTATTATATTTGTGATGTGTATTTAATATTTATCACAACACTACAACTAATAACGGGCAATATAATATGTGCTCAATTGAATGTTATGTTCCTTCAAATATTAATTAAAAATCTAAACCCATAGTTGATATGTGTATTTATATTTTATATATTATATTCTTAATTCTTAATTAATTAATAGCAAGATGTTGAATAATGTTTTTCGTTTTGATTAAAAGTTAAAAGGGATAAATAGACTACACATTTTTATTTGAGTTAATTCCTAGATTTATAGGTGTCATTCTACTTTTAATTTTTTTCTTTTTCAGAACATCTGATCCCTTCTTGATCCTAATATTAATGTAGCATGATCATTTTTTGTCCTCCATCAATAAATATGTTTAAAAGAGGATATTTTGGTCTATTTGGCCTACCATCTTATAAGATCCTCTTTGTTGTAAGAGTTCTTTTTTTTTTCAAGTCCTAGATTTAAGGTGTCATTCCACATTTGGTCCTTGCCAAAATGTCTTTATGTTAATGTCATTTAAACATATTTATTGACGGAGGATCAGAAATGGTCAAGCCACAATAACAACATGACCAACAATGGATGTTATGGAAAAACACTAAAGTGAAATGAAACTTATAAATATAGGACAAAAAAAAAAAGAATTAACTCTTTATATTTTATATATAGGATAGGTTCAGCATCAACTCTTAACTTTACTAATATGATAATAATATCATTACTATTACGTCAACATAATTTGTGGTGGCTACTAATACTAATTTCAAAAATAACGGAAGATGTCCCGAAAGGGATACTCAAGTGGATAGAGCATGATTCTTATACTTATCGCAAGTTTAATTCTTATCATTACCGTCTTGTTAGAGCTCGTTACATGAGATCTTTCTAGTATGGTTTATCTCTCATGTGCAATTTGTGAGTTTGTAAGATTTACTCCATGCATACTCTTAAATACTGATTACGAGTTTCTCTTCTCACCAAAATAAATAAAACAGTATAAGACCCCCCCTCCCCCCCCCCCCCCCCCCCCAAAAAAAAACAAAAAAAAAAAAAAAAAAAAAAAAACAACAACAACAATCAAGCTGGTCAAAACAATGCCAATAGTTGCATAATTATGTCTCAAATCAAGGTTGTTAGCCCAACATGTACTTCGGTCATTTTTATGAAGGAAAAGGTAAAGGACCTTTACATCCGAAACCTTTTTTTTTTTTTTTTTTTTTTTTTTTTTTTGAAATATCACATTATAATAAAATCAATAGTATTACATCCGAAACCTTAAAGCTTCTCAATTGATTAGCATTGTTCTTTTACAATCGATAGAAAATATTCGTGTTTCAATTATGAAAACAACATATCTCCAATCAGTGTTAGAATAATATGTTGAATATAACAAGATGTTCCACTATTGATATTGGTCGAGATATATAATCTAGTCTAAATAATAAACCGACATGTGTTCGTTTAAAGCCTCTCTAGTTATTAAGACTATCAATAAATTAAAGCCTAAGACTCTAGACTATGACGAGTTGTTTGGTAGGATGAACTTGTAATTCTATTCCTACCAAATTTTATGGAATTACAATTTTTTAGTTTGGTTAGAGTGAATTGCAATTTTCTCAAATCATAGAATTGCAATTCTTAGCCGGGTCTCTCTTAAGAATTACAATTTCACACTTTGTGGAATTGTAATTCTATAGTGATTTACCATTTTATCATTATTATTATTATTATTATTATTATTATTATTATTATAAAAAGACATTTTAGTTTTTATTTACTTCTTTCATTTCAATTCCCAATCATTCTATTCCTGCACCAATAACAATGTAATTTAAATTCACTTTATTCTTTTTTTCACAAAATTACAATTCATTTCCCCCTTAATTCTCTTTTTCCAGGCAAAAGCCTGTAATTGTTTAACTACTATTGATGGAGCAAATCAACAAATGGAGACAGGTTCTTTGAATATCTCAACAACCATAACCTATAAATGTTAAAGCCTAAGACTAGACTATGACAAAGTGTTTGGTAGATTGAATTGCAATTCTATTCTACCAAAACTTCATGGAATTACAATTTTATAGTTTTATTGGAGGGAATTGCAATTTCACAGAATTTGCAATTCTTAGTAGGGTCTCCCCTAGGAATTGCAATTACACACTTTGTGGAATTGTTAATTTTATGGTGATTTATCATTTTACTCTTATTATTAATATTATATATTATTATTATACAAGACATTTTAGTCTTTTTTTTACTTCTTCCATTTCAATTTTCAATCATTCTATTCTTACATATCAAATAATGTAATTTAAATTATCACTTTATTTTTTTCCCAAGAAATTACAATTTATTTTCCAAGCAGGGTCGACCTAGCTTGCTGAAATTTCGTCTGATGTTTGTCGAAGATTCGCCGAAGTTGATTAGAACCCTAATTGACCTGCAATTACAGATCATCAACATACTAGTGAGTTTTATTACTCCGAAATACTCTGCAACATATTTGTGAGTTTAATTGCAACTTTTAAAAGTGTAAGTGCCTAATTGACTTTTGAAATAAAATTTAGGGCTTAATTATTTGTCCATTTTCCATTAATGTTTTATACTCTTATCAACTAAAAGGGCCAATTATATTTATTTTTTACACTAATCATTCGGTCAATTGTTTTTTTTTTTTTTTGTTTTTTTTTTTGAGCAGATGGGACCCAATTGTGTCTCTTGTAGTCTCTTAACTCACCATAAAATATTAACGTTAGAGACATGAAATATATAAAGTATATATTTAATATAGTTTTTAAATTTTTATTGTTTGTTTTGAACTTTTGGGGTTGTTAGAGGTAGAAGAAAGTTTGAGTTCACCAATCTTTCATGGAGAGTGTTGGCAAACGCGTGTCACGTGCCTACCAATTCATATCTAACCCATTTCTTGAATTTTAGATATTTGAGAAAGATTTGTATTCTATAGTACATGGAATTTCACAAGTAAATTATGTGACAAAAATAGAGAGACAAAGAAATCTCCAATAGAAAGCCAAATTATTTTTGTACTCAAAATCCCACACAGGAAAATAATAAGTATATTTTTTTAAAAAAAAGTACAGATTAAAGTGTACTTATTAAATTAAGAAATTTTTTCTTTTTTAAAACAAGCCATGAAGAACGAAAATAGAAAACATATTTATTAGCAGAAATTTTGAATTTGAAAAATAGGAGAACTATTTTTTCCAAACCTAACAAAGGAATTTGAAAATATATAAATTATTATATTAAATATAATAAACTATTTCCCAAAGTTTCAAGAAAGTTTTAAAGAAAATTACACTTTTTGTTCTTAAGTTATATGATAATTATAGAATTCGTCTTTGAGTGTTGATCATGCTTATTTTTTGTCCCTAGATTATCATTGGCGTTCCACTTTTCGTCCTTTCGTGCTCACTTTCCGTCCCTATGTTATACTAAATTGCAAATTCCATCCCTAATATTTTATTAATAAAGGACTAAAAGTGCAACGTCAATGATTAACTTAGGGACGAAAAGTGAGCATGACCAACACTATAAGGAGCGTTTGGTTGGAATGAAGGAATTAAGGGGGGAAGGAATTGTAATTCGGTGGGAAAAGAATAAGGTAGGAATAAAGTAGGAATTACAATTACATTGTTTGGTAGGGATGAATAATGGAAATGGGAGAAGTGATATAAAAATTAAAATACCCTTGTGTAATAATATTAATATTTAATAAAAACATTTAAAGACAAATATGTCATTTTCCCTTTTCATTGTAGGGATGAATTCATTGAATTGCAATTCATAGGGGACCTATGAACTGCAATCCCCTATAAATTGTAATTCAATGAATTGAGGAAATTACAATTCCCTCCTACCAAACAATGTAGTTTATCTTTTCATTGAATTTGCAATTCAATTTCAATGCAATTCATGCCAACCAAACACCCTCGAGAGTGATTTTCTGTATTAGATTCTTCTCTCGCCGTCCCCATTGCGACAGCGACTTTGCGGGAGTAGGCAGCTCTTCACTACACTTTTTTTTTTTTTTTTTCCTTTTTCTATTGCACAAGTTTTTCTGTCTATTCTCATCGTAAATTTATTATGAACCATATATAGTAGTCTAGATTCTTCCCCTTGATGCTCTGTCACAATTGTCGTTTAAATGTTACAAAAAAGGTTTGGGATTGAATTCGAATGCCTCGTCACGATCGCTGTAATGTCATTAATGTAGACTTGAGCTGGAGTTGGGGTAGTTTAGCAAATTATATCTTAGACAAGGTTTCATCTTGTGTGATGGATCTTGATTCAAGTATCATATTATATTGCCTT